GCCAAAAAGAAGAACACAAAAATGAAAACACCCGATGTTTAATATTTCCCAAAACTGTTTCGAAACTTTTTTCAGATCATAAAATGGATAGAGTACCATGGATACAACAGTAAATCTATACTCGAAGACAATATCTTTTGAATTTTGAACGACAGAAAGGATATAATTACCAGTGAAGTAACTAACTGAAAGAATGATTGATCGATTGACTGGATGAATAATTGATCAATTATTGACTGCCAAAAGATTTGTTTTCATATAAATACGACCAGCGTAGCACAGCTGTAATTTTATTTCTTTTTTTTTTCTGGTGATTGGATGACGAAAAGTGATGCAATACGGGTGTACGGTTGGACACATAAATAGCATATGACTCTTTCATCTTTCCCTGTTGAATGAATTTAAACAACAAATGTACCTCGGTATATTGTAGAATATATTCAATAAAGATGAAAGGAGAAGGAACGGAACGCATCTTTATTGTTGTTTTTTTTAATCTTAAATTTCATTTAAATTTAAATCATGGAAATCTGTTTAATTTCTATGACCAGTTGTACCATGAATAGTAACGCCTATGAAAAGTAAATCCGGATTTGAATGAGGCACTTTCTGGATTTCATCGTATTCCTGACCGCAAAATCTTTGTCTGAATTGCGAAAGAATCGGATTAAAATTCCTCTCCTCTGGTTTTAATGTGGCTTATAGTCAAAACGAGATCTTTGAATTGAAACCTGTGTGATAGGGTCACAAAGTATTCGTAATTCTCCAGTCTAAGAACTTTCACATTCACCTTTTTTAGCATATTTGAATTATTGCTTCTAGCACTCTTCCATTCATTCACATTCGATAAGCGACTATTCATTTAATAAAATTAAATTTTATAATTCCACGTTTAAAAGATTATGAGAGATTAATTTACAATGAGCTATCGCAAGAATACTTTCTCGAAAAAGTGCGATAAAATTTAGTTGAAGTAAAACTGTTGGGTAGTAATGCTGAAAGATGATGACTATTTGTATTAGTATATTTTTACAACCTGATCTAAACGATTTGGAAAAGAGAAATGTGAAGGGAAGAAATGAATATGACTAAGGAAGAAAAGTAACAGTACACCCACTGACAAGAGCGCACGAATTATTAATAACAAAATATCAACTTTTAACAATAAACTTCCTTCCTACAAGGATAACTGACACACTAACTATTTATCAAATTAATGCCTTATGAAATGCTTTTCATTTATTGGTAATTTGGGACGGTCTAACCAGTCTGTTAATAGCAGTTGGAAAACATAAGGCGGTGACATGCTCGGTATATTTGAACATCTTTTATACATGTCAACACGCTCATCCCTACCAAAAAATGACGGTGTTTTTATTCATGATTAGGCACTAAAATAAATTTTAAGAAAAAGAAAAGAAAGATCTGCTAATGTGTAAAATAGTCACTAAAATAAAGTACACAGTAGGTTTGTTAGGCGAGAAAATATTTAAAGATGTATAAGATTACAGTTATTATTGTCCCGCTTTAAATATAATTTCCCTCATATCCACCATAGAATTGCAGAAATTTTTAGAATGCATGTCTTTGTAGTAGAATCAAGTTGAATAGAAAAACCTCTCAAGTCTTCAAATTCTCTGCAAAACCTTTGGTTCATCCTAATAGTTTTAATTTAACTACCATTTGATTTCTAATAATATATTTCTTTTCTCGGTAATTAGTTGAAAGCCGAAATTTTGACCATCGAAAAGAGGTCTCTGTGGTAGTTGAATTTAATACAACACCGTTTTATCCTGCACCTTTACTTATAAGGATTATTTAAAATAACCGAAGAATGACCAAGGTAATATTAAAAAACCAATAATGTATTTTGAGTAAGCAATGTCTCAGTTTGAAATTGATAAAAACTGAGTCTCAGATATATACTCTTCGTGGTTGTTCCGATGAATCTTGAGGGATTCTTCTTGAAAAGAACATTAGCAAATTGAAAACAGAACCGACTCCTGATAAGTTTCATTTTGGCAAATAAATACTCGAAAAGTGTATTTGAATTTAATTTTAATTTTTATGCGCTGAGGAATTCTTTGATCTGGAAAATCGAATCGAAAAGAGAAATGCAGTTAATAATGGCGTTCTGTACTCCCGCCAATATTTTTTTTGCATCATTTTTTTGACTTTCAGCAAATCACATTGATCATATTATTAAGCCTTATTTTGCTTAAGATGTAGAAAACAGAAAAAATTTGTAAGAAAATGTTGCTTGAATGGTTTCTCGCTAACTGGACAAATTTTTTTAAAGACTAGAATGTCAAATTATGTGGCCCGATGCTGATTCAATTTCCCCTGTCACAAACTTTCCTCTTCCAAGCTAAGCCTAAACATTTCTACAAATTAATATTTACCTAACAAAAAGCTAGATTCCATGTTTAATTGTCATACAAATGTTATTCTCGAAATTCGAAAGTTACAGCCCACTTACAAATTTTATTTTCTTGACAGATATTTTCATACTGTAGCTTTTGAATTAATGAAAGTAGTCTAAAGGTACATTTTTTTTAAGCTGGCCCATGACACTTGAATGGAGAAAGACAGGAAAATTGTAAAGCCATAAGGAATAAATCGAATAATGTAGGGACTAATCACGTCATTTCAACTTTGAACAGAAAAGATCAAAGAATGACAAGCAAAAAAATCATTTGCAGCAGAAACTGAATTATGATGACATTAGCAATATTCTTATGAGATCATATATTTTGGTTTATAATTATAGGCTTTTCCGTCAGAAAAAGCCTATAACCGTTAAGTTTTGCCACATAGGTTGCAGCCATTGGGGTAGCAGAGTTGTTAAGAATTAAAGTAGAATGATAGTGAAGTATTCGTTGTTGCAAAACCTTCTGAAGGGGAATTCTTATCTCTATATCAATGTAGATAGAAGACTGAAAATTACTTTTTCTCGCAGGGAAGCATTTTCGGTGAGAATTCATCTCTAATCATGATAAATCAATTTCATAGAATAAGCTTCTTCCTGAAGATTATTTTCCACATTCGTAACAAATATAAGCACCTGGAAATGAAAAAAATTTTTGAAAAATGACCACAGTTTCTGAATTTCAACTTGCAAATCATTCAGAAAGCAGAATTGCCGAAAAGTGTTGGAGGAAGATTGGGAAATTAAGATTTATAAATTCACTTGCTTTTCAAAAATCAATTTTATTACGATTACGAACTTCAAAAAAATAAAAAAAAAGGAAAACAAAACTAATACTTCGGGCAATTTCAATCCAACATTTAGTAGGAATGTGATAGGAACGTCAGTTGTTTTGTAGCCAGAAAGCATGACAATATCATTTTCAATCCGGACATATTCTGGATGCGAACAAGAAATCCGAAATGACCGTTCCACGCTATATCGATTCCTTACAGCTAATTTCTGAAAAAACAAAAATGTGAAATAACTTCATCGAGTGCCACGTAATACCACACTAAAAATCAAAATCCCAACAAAGATTCTTTGAAACATCCTTTATTTAGTTGTTAATATGAAATTGGCGTTTAAAAAAATGATAAGATAACTTACAACTTCTTGATTCCCGCTATTTTGCAAATAAACTTCGAATATTTTAGTGATGTTGGCTTCTCGCACATTTACTGCAATCATCCATTGATACAATAAATGACATTTTCGTTGATCAGTTGCCGAAACCAGCATCATACGAGAACCTTCAAAAATCGGAATTCATAAATTTCATTTTTATATCTCAGTCCTCTCCCTCAAAAATTTCATATGACAGATATGAAATAGCAATGTTTCGGACGAGTTGCATTGGTTAAGAACACATTGTTAGAAGCAAACATAGAAGAAAAAAGGGAGCAGCTTATATAAAGGAAGTGATACGCATCGATATTGCTCGAGTATAACCAGTTTGTCCATATATCCAAGTACCAAAGCGGATATTCAATGTTACAGTGGATCAGATTGACAAAATAATGCAAACTTCTCTCAGGCAGAGAAACAAATGAACTTGAAATGTGACTCAAAGATCCTCTGTAGTCTGAGTGGAGATTTCGATGTAGTTTGACCATTGATTGTGAAAACTATTGTGTACGTTATTAAGACATTAGCGATCATCGCAATACTAAACTTTCTTACTGCTCAGTTTAAAAAAAGAAAATATCCCAAAATTTCGAGGGTTTTCCAGAAATGCTAAGTTTTCACAATGAAATGTCTTTATTAAACATGTATTAACCCCGCAATAACAAGGAATTTTTGACCCTTTTACATAGAAGACATTTCTTGATGGGAAGAACAGACATCACATCATTGATCTTTTCATATAAAAGGCATTTCTAGATAAGAATTTATATAAAAGGCATTTCTTGATAAAAAGAGCGGAGTTCTTATCTTTGATCTTTTTACATAGAAGGTATTTCCAAATGACAAGAACAGACGTCATCTTGGAAATCAGCAACTGATACGATTATCACAACAAAATCAGTACTGACTGACCTTGAGGAAGGACCGCCAGGCAAAGCACAGAAATGTTAAGGGTAAAAAGTTGTGTCATATTTCTGTACTTGAAAACACATCAATTTATATTCTTTTACTAGAGACAGATCAGAGAAAAGGAATTAACCTGTGAAACCAGGCAGGAAATGAACCATAGCATTCAAAGTGCCGCCATGTTGTACTGCATCTGCATCTGCTGGATGAATCTCAAAATTTTTTGAAGAGCTTCCAAAATGAACCAGACCACCGCAGTTATCATTAGTTCTGGAAGCAGTTTATAATTCACATTTTATTCATGAATTCAGAATAAAATACAAGTTCATTTCTTAATCTATCATAAGCATGGGTTGCTTGGATAAATGGTAAAAAGGCAAAAAGAAAGGGTACAAAGAAATAAAATCTAAATTAAAAGCTGATAGAAGGAAAGAATGATGACTTTAATTATTCAGATATACAGATAAATAGCAGCAACAAAATATACGCATTCTCACTTTTATGACCGAAGAAGTAAATATCATTGAAGGAAATGCCTCCTACAACCAATGAAATTAGAGATTTCCGATATCAAAAGTCTTCACCTACTTCAAAACGATGGGGATTTTGATGAGCTGTGCTCGAACGGCATTCAGATTGATTTGATTCACCGCATGAATATGTATTAACCATGCTCCCAAAACCGTGTTATAATATTGATCAGCAAAAAAAATCACTGTGAATGTTCGCAACATCGGTGCTTTACCAGTTTGACACTATAAGAAAATGCAAATTAACTTCATGAATGGAATAAGTAAATTTGAAAATTGAGAATTTCGAAATAACTGCTATTGCCATCAAGTCAAATATACCGTAAAGTGTAAGTCCTGAGAGCCATCGCAATTATTTTTAAATGAGGTCAGTACAAGGGGATCTGTACAGCGAATGGAAAACACACGACCTGAAACAAACACTTTGGAGAAGGTAACCAAAATTATATGTTTTCTTTCTTACTTTGAGGATGAAATGAATTCAAAAATTGTTTCGATGACTACTTTTATATCCGGTAATGTGAATAATTCTGGACAATGTTGTTTCTGCTTCGTGATAGAAACGAAATGAATTAGAAATAATGTTATGACGATTTCCAACCAACAAATCTAAGATTGCTATCGGTTCACCACCATTTTTCTTCTTGAATATTATCTGAAACTCACAAGTAAATTCATGAGTGTTTCAAAACGATTCAGGACCGTCACAGTTATATGCATTGCATCACCGGGGTTCCTCCCGGTAATGCACAGGAAAGTTATTAAGATAGTCACTAGTACTAAATCTGAAAGGTAAAATAATTCCATCGAAGGAAAATTTTTCTGCAGTGACATTTCTAAATTTCTGCATATAATTTTCCACGCTACTTTAACTTGATTTCTGATTTGTTCCTGAGGTAACGCAAATCCATCGTAAATAAACGGTGCACATATGGTTTCCATGGGTTTCAGGAATATATATACTTCGGTAACTTGTTCATTTTCTTTCGATATTTGATAAAGATCTCTTTCAAATGGAGTTTTAATCCCGTACATATTTTTGTAATGTTGCCATAATTCCATATCGAAAAGCGGTCTATAATATTTCAACAAATTACCATGCCATGACTGCAGGCATGCAAACTGATTATAGATTTGTTTCAAACCTACTATGGATAAACTTCAAACATTTATTGCGATTGTCAATTCTTTTCCGAAGAAACAAGATAGAAATTTAGATTTGAGGGTGTTACTCTCTTAACCATACGAAGTCGGAATATATTTGTAAAATTCCAAGAAAATAATGTCGATTAAAAATTTCAAGTAAAGCTATACAACTTACCTTAACGTATCCTGACCAGTGTCCACAACGATGACAGCCGAGTCTGGTTCAGTATTTTGAAGCATGTATTCGAAAAATACGACTTGACCATATTTTGGATAAATGCTGCGGAAAACTGAGTGCAATGCAGTAAAATTTGACATTATTCAAACAATCTAACGTCGTTACGAGAAAAAAGTAACAATCAAGCAATTAAGATTCTAGAAAGTATAATGCATCATCTATCTATCTATTCATCGATTCATCTAATAGCTAACAGTTAATAGCCAACAGCCAATAGATAGTACTACTTCTTCAGTATGCTAGCCAATTCATACCGATATTCCGTAGTTATCGCATTGAAAACAACTTTTAACAATTTCGATGCCTTATCTTCGGCACGCAGTTTTTTGTACGCTTCCAGTTCCTGCTGAAACAGATACCTTTTCATTGATCCCTGAAATATTTCTTGTTCTACGAAATAATACTCAACGACATACATGGATTTACTGTTGAAAGGTAAATTTTAAAGCCACATTTTTTCATGAATATCTTTTCTTTTACCAATTTTTCTATTTTCTAACAAATCATCAGTCATTATCATGAATTTCCATAGAAAAATATCCCATAAAGTTTTAGAAAATTGAAAGTAATTGCATCAGCATTTTTGACAATTTCGTAATCGAATCCCTAAAAAATTATTAAACCATACTTTTGTCGTGAGTGGTCTCATTACTTGATTTTGGTTTTTTGCTCCTAGCAGTACACCGTTCATAATTTCATTGTAACGCTGATCTATATCCAATCTTGAAAGATTTTATCGAAAATAATAGTTCAGATTCTTTCGAAGAATTCTTTAAATTATTTATTTCTGAAGACTTGCACTTACACGAATCCACTGCCAAGCATTAATTAAGCCCAACAGTTGAAAAGACCGCAATGATTGTCGGAAAACCGAAAGAATTTATTATACATTAAATGCTTAGAAAATTTCTAATGATTCCATCACTGCATTCATTCACCAAAATGCTTCATTCACCAAAAAAAAAAATACATTCACCAAATTCTGCATTCATTCATTAAAAAAACATTCTTTAAAATTATCTCCCGTACGTTTCTTTTGTTATCTTTGTCTAACGAAAATTCACATCTTTATTTTAATGACAAAGGATGTCCAATTTACATGCTAACCTTCCCACCTGATCTTGTTACAACACTTATTATGTAATTGGATCTTTACAGTTTCCTTTGTATCTAAATGAATACGCCCTTTTTTAAGATTTTATGTAAACCACTCCTACTTCTTTATACACATAAACCCTCTTGGAAACAAAGAAAAAGGCTTCTTGGGCTGGTGCTCTTCTATAGTGCTTTACTTACGATTACATTCGACTCACGGTCGAGCGATTTCCTACTCGTTACTCTTCAATAATCCCACTGATCAGCTCTGTATTATATCAATAAAGCAGTAATTTTTACTCTGTGTCCTCACAACGTATATTCGACGTCCTCACAAGGTAAGCCTTTAATTAAATTTCTGCTTAATCCTAAATCAAGGCTAAACCTTCTAAATCTAAACGACTCGATAAAAAGAAGGGATTTTCTCACAACAGTGATTAAGTGTTGCTACTCATATTACAAAATATAAAGCGCATTGCTGTCTCAAGACATTGTAAATTGAATTATTCACCTTTGAGCAGCCAGGAAACGTTGCAGCGAATTTTCATGGATAGGGTTCAGTGGTTTAGCTCTAATCTTGTACGATTCATAGCCATTTTGACCAATTCGAGTTAACTGTTGACTTACAACTGCGCTTGTTCGACTTTGCATTGAATCTAAACTATAATATAATATGCTTTCCTAATAAATCAATACTGAACTTAATATTTTATTTTCACCTGAGAAAAGATAAAAGATCGTTGCTCTTGGTCTCCTTATTCACGAGACAAAGAGAAGCTTATCACTTATCACTTTGCTAATAGATAGGCTAGAAAAAGAAAACTGCATATATTAGTGTATTAGGAGTGCGGGCTTTCAAAGATTATAGGCTAGAAAAAGAAAACTGCATATATTAGTGTATTAGGAGTGCGGGCTTTCAAAGATTGCTTTAAGATATCGCGAATGTTTTCAATCTCGTCTCTGTTCATTTCAAAGCTTTATTTTTACATAACCTATAATTTTGAATCTTAAATATCGAGTTATCCATCCCTTATACGAAGCACTTATCATACCTATCTGTTTAAGGCATGGATGTCCAATATTGGCTAATCGAAGCAATACTTGACATGTTATGATGGATGATTCAGGAAAACTGAGCACTACCGCACTTTGTATATCAGCTTGTACTGCTTCAGATCCATGTCTCAGCAAGGACTATAAAAAAATTTTTTTTAATTTTTACTGATTAGAAGGACCTCGAGTATTAAAACTTGTTTTGTGCGAAAGTTTCATATGGAATTATATTTCTTGAAGATGCGACGTTGACGAAAGCTTAATTTTGAGAAGAAAAGAAATTTCCAATCAAATGGAAAAATTTCCACTTCTTTTCCGTCCACTCAGTATTTTAATTCAGTTATTTAAATAAATATTATATTTAAGTAAACTAACCTTAAGTGGAATATATGTTTTGCCAAGAGGTAACAAGGAATCGGCATCCCATACATCAACAATCGCATGACCATTTGAAAGATAATCGATGTAATCCTCCTTGTCCCCATCTGCAAGCGAATTCCCATCAACCATATATCTCACCTGAAATTTCAAATATTAATACCTTTTTGCGACTCATAAACTATTCGTTCCAAATTTCCACAAGCAAAAATAATTGTTCACAGTGAAGCCATTGCAGTCTTCCTTGGCGATCTCGTCAATGTTTCCTCTGCGATTCAAAACGAATAACTGTTCGCGAAGGCTTGTCTTTGCGTGAACTATATCCAACCACAATCTACAAATTAGAATTAATTGTTATTTGAAAAGACAATCTTTCCTGAATTTACATTCATAAATTCATTTTTGGAATCAAATTATATTAGCTATATTTATTGTAAACTACTAATCCTTAAATTTGAAATATTTCAAACGAGAAATTAACAAACCTTTCAGTTGTAACTGTATAGAAGCGATAGAAGTCAATTGTA